AAGGACATGAGCCAGGAGGGGCAGGACATGAAGGACATGAAGGACATGAGCCAGGAGGAGCAGGACATGAAGGACATGAGCCAGGAGAGGCAGGACATGAAGGACATGAAGGACATGAGCCAGGAGGAGCAGGACATGAAGGACATGAGCCAGGAGGGGCAGGGTGACCCCCTGCATCGCAGAGGGCCAGAGGAGCAGTTGTGCTGCTGTGCACAGGAAGGGGTGTCTGCATTCCCAGACTCCTGTGCCGAGGCTGCAGATGCCCAGGTGGACACTCTGCTCCAGCAGTGCAGGCAGGGAAGGTGCTGGAATGCAGGAGTGTTGCAGCACAGGCTGGGGAAGGGAAGGCAAGGACAGCCAGAGCACTGGAGTGTGGCAGGACAGGGACAGGCAGGCAGCTGCTGGCAGGTTTTTGGGTGCTGATGGCCACAGCACAGGGGGGATCTGGCCCATGGAGGCTCCAGAGCAGCAGCACAGCAGCAGGGGGAGGGCAGCAGCACCTGAGGTGCCCTGAACGAGACCTGCTTTCCTTGGCACCGCCTCGACTTTCTTGCAAAACAGCAGCTGTGCTTTCACTGCGGGTCACAGATAAGCATCGCTGACAAACAGAGCCGGGGAGGCTGCAGGCCCTGCAGCACAGCCAGCTCACACTCTGCAGGGGCTGAGGCACATCTGGGCCCCATGGCACAGCCCTGGCACGGCCCTGGCACGGCTCTGGCACGGCCCTGGCACGGCCCTGGCACAGCGAGCTCTGGCCTGGGCAGTCCAGCTCAGGGGACAGAGCTCAGGGTGGGATAACACCTCTGAAGGAGGCTGTTCCTGCACTGCCTCCCGAATTCCTGCCGCCCAGCAGGATACCCGGGATGCTCCGAGAGGGACACTCAAGGCATGGTGACACCAGCTGGAAGGGGCACTAACTCTTCAAGTGCTGGGACTGGCTTTAAAGGATCAGCACCTCCCTAACCAGGCCCGGAGCAGAGCACAGGCAGCAGCAGCCATACAACCCAGCCCTGCATCTGTGGGATCAGGGCTTGCTGTGACCACCCCAGCTCTGCCATCCCTCTCCCCTCCCCTCTGGAACACGAGGGATGGCCCTGCTGTGTGCTCAGTGATGTGGAGCAGCCCCTCTGGGCCATGGCAGCACCACCACCGTGGATGGAAAGCCCCGGGGTGTCAGTCCTGCCCACCACAGAGCAAACAAACCCCGTCACTTGGCTGCCAAACCGCACAGCTGCTCCAGGGAGCCCAAAACCAGCTCAGTGCTGAATGGCCACAGCGACCCAGCAAGGTCTGAGCCTCCTGTGGCCCTGCAGCACCAGGGGAGCGGCAGCACGGGCTGCAAACACAGGACACAAGGATGCAGCTGAGTTTGCCCAGTTGGTGCCAGGCTCCTGCAGGATGCTGGTGGCCATGGGAATCACCAGAGGCTGCAGGATCCAGCTAGGGCACAGCCCCAGGGGATGTGGAGGCAGAGCTGAGCTGGCTTTGGCCCAGCTGGGCTCGGGCACTGGAGGGATCTCTGCCCACTCACACCAAACACGGCTCTGCTGCTGAACCACAGAGCTCAGACTGAGCTCAGCTGAGCCAGCGTGAGGTTCAGCAGTGAACACACATCCTGAGCCATCCCTTGCCTGGATTTCATGGATGCATTCTGTGTCACGGCAAAGACAATAAAATCTGGAGTAATGTAGAATCTCAGAATCAGAGAATCTCCTGAGCTGGAGGGACCCACAGGATCATCCAGGGCAACCCCTGGCCCTGCCCAGACACCCAACATCCCTGGCAGCGCTGTCCAAACATTCCTGCAGCTCTGGCAGCCTCGGGGCCGTGCCCATTCCCTGGGGAGCCTGGGCAGTGCCAGCACCTCTGGGGGAAGAACTTTTCCCTGCTCTCCAGCCTGACCTCCCCTGGCCCAGCTCCAGCCATTCCCTCAGGTAAAATTCAAGCTGCCCAAGCTCTGAGCCAGCTCCAAACCCAGGTGTCCAGGGCTGGCCCTCCCTGCAGAGATGGAAACTGAAGTTCACCAACTCCTGAGCAATTACATTTCTTCTTCAAAAAAAAAGATAAGAAAATTGCATCAACCTCTCTGTGAGCAACCATGGCAACTTGTTAAAATAGGTCAAGATGTGGGGGCAGATAAGGCAGCTCTGAAAGGCTGCTCAGAGCTGGGTGAAGAACACATCAAACGCGAAGAGAGCTTCCGCCAAAATGCACCTTCTCACCCCAAAACGCGCCTCTGGGGCAGATACCATCAGAGATGTGCTGGGGCCACCTCCCTGGGCACCTCAGAACCAGGGCTGCTAACAGAACCTGAACAGGATTGTCGGGGCCTTAAAGCCAGGACAGAGCTCTGGGGATGAGGGATGCGATGTCCTCTTCACCCTGCCAGCTCCAGCAGGGCCACCACGAGGAGGGACCTGGCTGCTGGCTGAGTCCTCAAGTGGGAAATGGAAAGCCAAGGTCTCAGTGTTTTGGGCTCCTGGGCTGGCAGAGCCCTGCTCTGCTCCTTGGGAGGCTCCTCCACCTCATCAGAGCCACAGGCAGAGCCCAGACTCAGTTCCTCTGCTCGGGCTGCCAGACAGCACTTCCTCCCCCGAGTAAAGCAGGAGTAAAGCATAGCAATGCACAGGGAGGCCTGAGCTCTGCCCTTCCCCACTCTGAGCTCAGCCCTTCCCCACTCTGAGCTCTGCCCTTCCCCACTCTGAGCTCTGCCCCTTCCCCACTCTGAGCTCTGCCCCTTCCCCACTCTGAGCTCTGCCCCTTCCCCACTCTGAGCTCTGCCCAGTCCCCACTCTGAGCTCAGCCCTTCCCCACTCTGAGCTCTGCCCTTCCCCACTCTGAGCTCTGCCCTTCCCCACTCTGAGCTCTGCCCAGTCCCCACTCTGAGCTCTGCCCAGTCCCCACTCTGAGCTCATCTGGCCCAGGCCAGACCTCCAGCATTCTCAGTGGGCAGCCTGAGCTGGGTTTTCCTCACTGACACAGACACATAGTGGGGAGTGCCCAGTTTTCCTCCACTTTGAAACCCCATATGTTCTACTCACTCTCCCCAGGTCCTGATCTAACAGCAACCCAACTCTGGCTCCCTTTGCTTGGAAAGCCCACAGCCAAAAGTCTGGGGCTATAAAATGGCTCAGAGGACATCTCTGGAGTCACTGCCTGCCAGGATCACCTGTCCAGGGATCTTTCCCAATGGCAAAAGCTGGCTTGAGCACTGAAAATTGCTCAGTAGCCTTCAGAGCAGGCAAACAGAGCTCCTGCTCGAGAATTCCCAGTGATTCCAGATTCTCCTCTCCACAGTTAAATCCTATCAAGTGAGGCAATGCAAAAGTAAAAGAAAAATTCAGGCATTCCCACTTATCATCCCACCAAAATGCCTGGGCCGAGGGATTCTCTTCCCAGCTTCAAGGGGTTGGAAATGAGAGGAGGGAAAATGTTACACAGAGCAAAGCATTTGGAATTGTGCTCTGGCATGGCATGAACCCGAGTCTCCCCTTCCCAAAGGCACTGCTCCAAGGACAGCCTTTGGGGTGCTGATATTCCTTGGAAGAAACACAGGGCCCAGCCACTGACTTCAGCTCCTCTCCTCTCTCCAGGGGTAGTTCCTTCTGCACTCTTTTCCATGAGCAACAGCAAACGTGGAGGGAAATATCCAGCTTGGAAAAGACTGGAAATATCCATTATTTTCCAATATCCAATTGGAAAAGAATGCTCCTGGTTTTGCCAGCACCGCAGTGCCTCAGTTTCCCCAGCTGTTCAAATGCTAGGCTCCCAAAGCATTTCCAGGTGCCACAGGGAAAGGCAACATCAGGAGAAAATAGGAATAAAAATAGGAACAAAAAGAGCAACTTGTGCTCAGAGGTCTCTTTTGTCAGGAATATCAATTTCCAGGGCACAGCAGAGAATGAGCCCCAGGTCACAGTCCCTCCTCTCCCTCCCCAGCACACGCCCAAGCCCCAGTCCACTCAGGAATGCAGAGCACTCTCATATTTTGCATGGACTTGGTAGAGTCTCATTCAGCAGGCAGGGCTGAGTTCTCTTTCTAACTAAAGCTATAGCAACAAACCACTTCCTTTTTTACTCTCCTAAAATTATCTGCCCACCTTTCCTCCCTCCTGCAGCTCTCCCCACCCTCACAAGGGCTCGGTGTCAGCCCCAGATGAGCCGCGCGTGGGAGGACGCTCGGGGACAGCCGCACCTCAGGCTCTGCTCTCAACCTGGTGATGATCTTTATCGGCACAAACTCTTCCCACCAGCTGCTCCCAGCTGGGCCAGACACATCTGAAGGTGCAGAGCCGGGGGAACTGGCAGGAGGCAGCCCCAGAGTTTTGCTGAGAGCACAGGGAAAAGCCATGGCACAGAAGGGCTGGAAAGGATTAGCTCAGCTTTAGCTGGAACTCCCATCCCACCAAGTTTCTCTCCTTGGAGATGCCAGATTGCTGAAGGGCTGTCATAAAGAGCCAGAGTTTCTGTGGCCTATCACCTTCTCATCTCTCCCAGCCCAGGGAATGGAAAATGTTTGGGATGGCTCTGGCAGCGCCCCATCCCTGCCTCACACCAAGGTACAGCGGGGCCTCCTCTGTGCCAGAGGGAGAGGAGCAGTGCTGGAGATGAGGCTGCTCCTGCCCCAGGGGGGCACAACCAAGAGCCCCCAGGGACCAGCACAGGGGCTGGAGGCTGAGCAGCACCTCCTGCTCAGGAACCAAACCAGCCCCAGCTCCTCCACAGCCAGCCAGGGGCAAATGGAGAACAAGGCACTGAGTGCCCCGCGCCCAGCCAGGTGCCACATCCCCCATGAGCTTGGGATGCCCACACTTGCCACAGCCCTGGGCTGACCCCCCACACCCCAAAACCCTCCCTCACACCACAGCGAGCTGGGCAGCCCAGAGTGCCCCAGAGTCTGGCCCTGAGGTCGGGAAGGTGCTCCCCGAGGCGCTGGGGGGCACGGAGGCGTTCCCAGGATGGGGCCCTACCTGTGTAGCCAGCCAGGGCAGCAGCAGGGATGACAGGCTTGTCCTTGTTCATGTCGGCCCGGTCCCGCACATAGTCCTTGAAGGTGCCCTTGGGCTTGTGGCTGGGCAGGGTGGCAGGGTAGTCCTCGGAGTCGAAGCTGTCGTAGGAGGGGACGCGCTGCAGGCTCTGGAAGGAGGACTGGCTGCTCCAGGACTGCGTCAGGCGGTCACAGCTGTCGTAGCTCTCGATGCTCTCGAAGGAGTCCTGGCCTCCCAGCTTACCTGGGGGAGGCACAGCAGGTGAGATGGGCCTGGCAGCACAGGCAGCCTCACCTGGCCAGACAGCGTGGTCACCTGGCCAGCACAGTGTGCTTCACCTGGCCAGCACAGTGTGCCTCACCTGGCCAGCACAGACAGCCTCACCTGGCCAGCACAGTGTGCCTCACCTGGCCAGGTCAGGCTGCCTCACCTGGCCAGCACAGACAGCCTCACCTGGCCAGCACAGTGTGCTTCACCTGGCCAGCACAGTGTGCCTCACCTGGCCAGCACAGTGTGCCTCAACTGGCCAGCACAGGCTGCTTCACCTAGCCAGCACAGACAGCCTCACCTGGCCAGCACAGTGTGCCTCACCTGGCCAGCACAGACAGCCTCACCTGGCCAGCACAGGCAGCCCCACCTGGCCAGCACAGTGTGCCTCACCTCGGCACTGCGCAGGCAGAAGGCAACTGATGCTGTTCCTTTACATCCCATCTCCAAAGTAAGCACAGCCCAGAGCTGCAATATTTTTACCTTTGCTATTCAGAGCAGGGCTGAGCCCTGGAAAACTTCAGGCAGAAGAGCACGGCAGAGAGAGATGGGAAAATCCCAAATCTGGCCTCTCTACCCAAGACTGGTGCCTGGGGCTGACTGAAAATGGTCCCTCAATTCCAATTTCAGAGACATAATTCGCTTTAGATACTCAAGGCTGAGCTCAGGAGCCTCAACATGGGCACTCCAGGACCTCTTTATGAGGCTGGGCAGGCCCTGGCACAGGGTGCCCAGAGCAGCTGGGGCTGCCCCTGGATCCCTGGCAGTGCCCAAGGCCAGGCTGGATGGGCCTTGGAGCAGCCTGGGACAGTGGGAGGTCTCCCTGCCCGTGGCAAGGGTGGAACCAACTTTAAGGTCTCTCCCAAGTGAAACCTTTCTCTGATTCTTTGATTTCTGTGATTCTCTTGCTGCTCAAGGATATTGGACGTCTCCAATAAATCCCCCACTACATCTGCCAGCCCTATTCAAACACTGCTCAGGCACACCCAGCTCCTTGAATCTGGATGTTTCTTCCCAAATTACACAGCAGCCTTCTGCTGCCATCTGTTCCAGCCAGCCCCAAATCCCCAGCCAGCAGCAGGTTTGATGGAGGAGGAGAGCCAATGGCTGAGAGCTCCAACAGCTTTTCCCAGCTCTGGTAAGGTGAGCACAGCTGGTTTGTGTCAAAGTCACTCTCTGGGGTATTTTTAGTCAAAGGGAGAACATGAGAGGCCAGATCCTCAGCAGTGCTGATTTACATCCCCAGAGCCAGCCCTGTGCTGAAACAGAGCTAAAAAAGGCCCCAAAGAACAAACTGAAAATGCAGCCTCTGATCTCCCTACTCTACTGATTGCTCAACATCTTTCCTGACAAGCTACAAGCGTAACAGGATCATTCAAGTTCACTAATTTCCCAAACCCAGCTAAAAACAGCTGCTGGGATTGTGCAAGAGCTCCTGGAGAAATTTCCATTGGCAGAGCTACCCAGAGCTTGGGCCCAGAGAGCAAATCCCGGGGGACAGGGAACGTGGAAGGGCGCTGGCACACGCCCCCAAATATTTGTTGTGTTGTAGTTTGAAGAGCACTTGCTATGAAAAGCTTCAACTCCTGCAGGGCCTGCCCTGATTGCTGGCCTGGAATCACTGGGAGCTGGGATCCATTGGCTTTGTTCTGATGGGACAGCCCTGGTCCAAACTCTTTTCTATTTTATTTTGTTGTTGTTGTTGTTGTTGTTTTTGAGGATTTTCACACTCCAGTCCTTCCCTGAATCCTGCTAAGGAGAACACAGTACTGCTGTGTGTGTGTACATTAATTGCCATAACCAATTCCCTGAGCAGTCCTGCAGCACCGGCTTGTTTAGAAAAGGAATTAAAATCTGACAGAGATGTGATTTGTGTCAATCCACTGGAAATTCACCTAAATTCCACCTAGCTGGAACAATCACGCCCTGCACTTACTCAGGAGAAGCTCAAGTGAGTTTGGCAGCTCCACTCCTGAACCAGCCGCCCTGGCTGACAGGGCAGAGAGAAACAACTCCTGTGGGACCCCAAAATTTCCTCCGAAAGGCCCCACAGAAGGAGAGTGTCTGCAGAACCTTCACCCTGAGGTGATGCTGAAGGCCTTGACTTGGTGTCAGACTAACCTTGTAAGACAGTGCAAGGTAAAGAGGGACATAAATATCAATTAACTGGGCTCTGCTTTGTATTAAGGCTTTCCCCTGGCCCTGGGAGGATTTGTGTCCCCCAAAGGCCCTTCCATGGCTGAAATGCAGCACTGGTGTGAGCTGATCTTGCAATCAGCATTCAAGTCTTTGCTAACAGCAGCAGCCAGGGCTCTCTGTTCCCCTGAAACCATTTTTAGGTTTGCCCCTGAGAACAGGCTCAAGGTACAGTTGCAAAAGCCTTCCTGAACCATTGCACTGTGAGAATGATGAAATCACCTGTGTTAAAGTAAAGGTCAAGAAAAGGGAAAGACATTACTGAAATTTCAGCAGAAAAACAACCCAAAAAAAGAGAAGTTTACCCTAAATTAAAACCCTGCTGCCCTTCTGGCTCAGGTCACCTCTCTCAGAGGGAGAGGCAACAGCACAAAAAATAACTTCCCTCAAATTGGCTCTCCCAGCTTGGAAAAAGAGTGAGAAAGTTCAAATGAGCTGCACGTGCCCCCCAGCCCCAGAAAGCAGCTCTGGCTTCCCTGGGAAGGCAGCTCATCCTCAGCTCTCTGGATAAATGGGTTTAACACCAAACCTGGTCACAGCACCACGTCACTGTAACGAATTCTGGGGCTGAGGACACCCGGATTCCATTTTAGGGGATGGCAGGGTCACATCTCTTCCCTGTGCCTCAGGTTCCCTACCTGGAATCTGCAGATAATGATCCCACTTGTGAGGGACTTTCAGCTCCACGGATTCAGCTCTTTGCTTTGAAAGGAGACAGAGCCTCATGCCAGCCTGGCATCACTGATGTGATCACAAAGCAATCAGACACGTGGGCCCGCGTGTTCCCAGCCTCACAGCATTAATTGGGAAGGTATTTGGGCTCAGATCCTCCCAAGTGTTCAGGTGTTTGAATCCCACCATCTCAAAGATGAATCGTGTACCTATCACTTTTGGAGAGGAGCATTTGGGGGGTCCTTAGCTCTGCTGCTGCCCTGACATCTGCACCTCGTATCCAAGCTCAGGAATATTGGCTACAGCAGAATATTTCAAACAAGCAGCCATCAAATCCCTGAACAAAATGGACAAAGACTTCAGATCACAGAGTGCAAAACTCTTCAGAGCCTGCAACAGCAATTCCTGATGAGAAAGAATCTGGGGGGATTTGCCTGGGCTCCTAAAAATGGGTTTTCTACAAGCACCCAGCAGTTTGTCCTCCCTGATAAGATAAAAACTCAATTCAAATTCACAGCACCAGAAACATTGAATTTCTGCAGAGGATGTAAAAG